AACCTAATTTAAAAAATTAAATCAGGATAATTGTAAAAAATATCCACATAATAAGAAGGTATAGATCCAAACGTGAAATTGAATGAGGTAAGACCAATTTTACTAAAAATATGTCCGAAGGACGAGTCATCGTTTGAACTTATGAATTTCAGCAAATGTGATATGTTTTACACTTCAAGGAATTTTGAAAATACTCGATGCAATAAATTGTTTAATCTCCTTTATATTCTGTATTTTAAATAAACGGCTTTTATGCTTCTATAATACATTTTATGAATTTGTATTATTCAGGTCGACACTGACAAACCATGTTTTATCATGCTCTTTTTTTTAATTTCTTTTTCAGGTCACTTCCCAAGCTCAGCGGTGATGAAATTGGAATAGATTGTTCTAGCTTTCCCTCTCATTTCGACTCTGGCCATTTAGCTGATACAGGAAATTTTGAGCCCATTCCACATGACCATGATTTTTGCGAGCGGGTAGTAATCAACATTAGTGGACTTCGATTCGAGACCCAACTTCGCACACTCAACCAATTTCCCGACACACTTCTGGGTGACCCTGCCCGCCGAATTAGATACTTTGATCCGCTCCGTAATGAATATTTTTTCGATCGCAACCGACCCAGTTTCGACGCAATCCTATACTATTATCAAAGTGGTGGAAGACTAAGAAGACCAGTTAATGTACCTCTAGACGTATTTGCTGAGGAAATAAAGTTTTTTGAACTTGGAGAGATGGCTTTCAACAAGTTTCGTGAGGACGAAGGTTTTATTAAAGAGGACGAAAAACCACTTCCAAAAAATGAGTTCCAAAGAAAAGTCTGGCTTCTGTTCGAATACCCTGAAAGCTCCCAGGCCGCACGAGTCATCGCCATAATTTCTGTAGTGATAATTCTTCTCTCCATTGTGACGTTCTGTTTAGAGACATTACCATTGTTCAAGCACTACAAGATCTCCAACACCACAGACGGTATTCTACGTATTGCAGAAAACGAAGTGCCAAAAATAACCGAACCGTTCTTTGTTATTGAAACTGGTTGTATAATTTGGTTCACCTTTGAATTGCTGGTACGTATGTTAGCCTCACCTAATAAACTGTCTTTCTGTAAAGACGTGATGAATTCAATAGATTTGATGGCCATCATCCCATACTTTATCACACTGGGGACTGTGGTGGCAGGAGACAGTCACAAGACACCTGGAATGTGGAACGAGAGAGGAAGTAACAATCAGGCTATGTCTTTAGCCATCCTTCGAGTCATTAGATTAGTAAGGGTTTTCAGAATTTTCAAATTATCTAGGCATTCTAAAGGTTTGCAGATTTTAGGGCGGACGCTGAAAGCTAGTATGAGAGAACTGGGTCTGCTTATTTTCTTTCTTTTCATTGGAGTTATTCTCTTCTCCAGTGCAGTATACTATGCAGAAGCAGATTCTGACAGGTCTTACTTCAAATCAATTCCGGACGCCTTTTGGTGGGCTGTTGTAACGATGACAACGGTTGGATATGGTGATATGCGACCGGTAGGGGTCTGGGGAAAACTTGTTGGCTCACTTTGTGCCATTGCAGGTGTATTGACAATCGCTCTTCCAGTGCCAGTGATCGTATCTAATTTCAATTATTTCTATCATCGCGAGACTGACCAGGAGGAGATGCAGTCTCACAACTTCAATCACGTGACATCATGCCCTTACCTTCCAGGCACAGTAGGCTACAAAATGAGGAGAGACTCGTGGGATGAGAGTGATGATGGGGAAATGGTGGAATTAGAAGAAGGAGTCTTCATTGGTGTGAAAAATCTACAAAATAAGCCCAACTGTGTTTCACGATCATTAAAGCATGCCAACCCTGTGTCCATCGAAACTGACGTATGAGAACCTTAAGCCTTATTAGGATCTCAAGTCGCAGTAATGTTATCTGTATCCTTCGGTTAGTATGTATATTTACATGAGAAAACGAGCTTTTAGGGTTAGGAAAATAAAGTGGTAAACTGTACACTTATCCTGTAACCTCTCGTAAACTTTAGTATATACACTTATCCTGTAACCCCTCGTAAACTTTAGTATATGCAATTATCCTGTAACCCCTCGTAAACTTTAGTATAACCTGGAAAATATTTTATGTTTTTCGTATCAATTTTTCTACAAATGTAGGCAGTATAGGCAAATGATGATGTGATTTTGGAAACTTGAAATACGACATAAGTAAGCCTTTTATAACGTTTTATTTTCAACAGGAATTACTGAAATGAAATTTCGAGATAATTTATTACTAAGGTTTTTACGTTAAGGTTACTGTGAAAGTATTTCTTCAAAAGAAGTACAGTTCAAATGATGCATTTGATGGTAAAACCTGTAATAATTTATTCCTTATACCGTTTTACTACTTTAATATTTGACATGTTTAGTTTGCATTAGAGTAATAGGAACCACTAAAATCAACTTATTTTTAACTTTAGCAATATCGTATTAGTATATCAAACTTTACCAAACTAGGTTATATAAGGTAATGGCGCTTCGGGACTTATGAAAAGAAAATATTTTTAAAAATTAGCTATACTTATTATAAGACTGATTTTTAATTTTGCTCTAAGTAGGATGTATGTTTTTCAGACCGATTACTGATCTACAGAATGTTCTGGTCTGGACGTGGTTAACGGTTACAGTGCTAGGACTAGATAACTAAGGGTTCGTGGTCTCGTAGTCTGTTGCCACAAAAACAAGATTCGTACTTTTAGGCCGTGGGTGCACTATAAGAGCGACGGATAAATCCCACAATTTGAGTTGTCGAGGGGTGTTGTTGACTAGCTGCCTTCCACCCAGTCTATTACTTAAAAATTAGGGACGGTTATGATCATATATTCTTTGTGTGAAAAGTCTGAAAGAAAAACAAAATGTTCTCAGAATACTTCGGTTTCACACGTTTACACATCACCTGTTTATTGGTGATAAGAAAGCTTGCTTGTTTAATGGACTTTGAACAAATGGATATATAATAATATTGCCTCTATTGATGGCACAGTTGTCTATCGTCATAAAAAACCGTTCACATTCAACGGATTCGAATATATTCACTGTTACTAGTTGAATAGCATTCGTCAACTTGACTAAACATATGTTTATACAGTAGGAGAGCTGGAGCTACTAGAAACTATACTTATTAATAAAGTTATTTTATTACCACATATATAAAATATTTGTGTGGGTTAACTAAATGAAGTTCTGTTTTTAAATTTTTAAGTTTGATCTATTCCAGCTTGATAAGTCGAACTTTAAAAAAAAAATCGGTAAAAAGCATCCACAATTGTGCTTCAATTTTTGTAATGGTTATTGAAGGAGTAATTGGTACTGTTATTGCTCCAAAACTTTGTTGCATGACAGGGTACGTGCAGGTGAAAAAAAAACATCAAAAGTACCGTTAACGTAAATTAAACTTAATAGTTTAAACTTAGCTTCATAAAGATTTATTTTAATCAAACAATTAAGAGTTTTTAGATTCAGCCTGTATATGAATTACTGATGATGGGTGGTATTTTCAGAAACCGCCCTAACCTAGAAATGATGAGTGATATTTTCCAAAACCGGTTTAACCTAGGCTACTGGTGATGGTTTTTAAACACAATATAAATAATCCTTTTATGACTTTTTTATTCTAAACGGAAATTACTGAAATAAATTATCAAGACAATTTGTAAATAACGTTTTCTTATTAACATAACGTCTTGAGACAACATGGAACCTATTGGTCCATCTTGGCTGTTACATCCTCTAAACTAAATTCAAATAATTTTTAAAAAATCTTAAAGCCAGCCCTTAT